TTTATATGGATTAGGGTTTCAGAAAGCAAAGTACTACTAGAAAATAAAGTGGGTATTTATCACAAGAGAAGGAATTCTTACTAGACTTCAAAGTGACAAAAACCACTATTTGTTATTATTATATAGGGTATCCCAAAATTCACACAAGATTTGCAATTGAATTGAAGAACCAATATTATTTTTGACTTAAAGAAGTTTGCACTTTTTTTTCCTATAATGCATAAACTAATCCTCTTTCTCATAATTTAGTTAAATGCATGCAGGTAACAATCAGAGCTTCTCATCAAGTTACAAGCTTGTTGGTACCAGACAGATTTAATATTATAACCAAAAGCAAAGAAAGATGTAGTCTTAGTTATCTTGAGCAGGCTTACATTGAGTCACATTTCTTCCATATACAATCGCTGGTCCAATTTGAAAAGCAGAAGTTTCTTTCTAAAGGTGTATATGTGGGACTACAGAACCTAGTCCTGACCTATGTCAATGCCATCAGCAGCGGGGACCTGCCCTGCATGGAGAACGCAGTCATGGCCTCAGCCCAGATAGAGAACTCGGCTGCAGTGCAAAAGGCCATGGCCCACTATGATGGGCATATAGGTAGCATAAATGCTAACATAAAGCCAGAAATTTATGCCATGAACTTCACCTCCAAGAGAAAAGGTCTTCAACAGAAAGACAGGATAAGGAGGAAGGATGTGGTCCTGCTGAGGTGCCTGTTAGTTCCAAAAATCCAGAGGTCAAGCTAACATTTTCTCTGTACTTTTTCTACTTCCTATTTTCACATTAAAGGCCCACCTAGAAAAAAGGCGAGATGACTTTTATAAAGAGAATATGAAAGCATCATCGGATCGCTGCTCAGCTTTACTTAAGGATATCTTCCATTCTTTAGAAGAAGATATAAAGCAGGGGGTTTATTCTAAATCAGGAGGATATCGTCTCTTAACACAGACTGTGCAGGAGCTGAAGAAAAAGTATCTTGAGGCACCAAAGAAGGGAATACAGGTAAACAGCATTTATCTGTCTCTGTTGCTCCCCTAAACCCCACACTTCCCTTCCTCCCAGTCTCCCTCCACCTTCTTTCCTTGGATCTGCTCTCTCCAGGATGGCTTCATTCCTCACCCCATAT